CGCCGCGGCCGCCCTCGAAGCCGCGGCCGCGGCCGCCGTCGGGGGCGTACGCGCCCTCGGGCAGCCCCTGCCCGCCGCGCGGCCCGCGGCCGCCGCGGCCACCACGGCCCAGGGGCCCGGCTCCCATGGGGCCGGCGACCATCATCCCCGGCTGCGCCATCACAAGGCCAGGCGGCCCCATGCGGCCGCGGCCGCCCATGCGGCCCGGCGGACCCATCATCCCGGGGTACATCATGCCTGGGCGCGGACCACCCTGGGGGCCCAGGGGCCCGGGGTAGAACATGGGCCCAGGCCCACCGGCCGGGAACAAGCCGGGGATGCCGCGGCCGGGGCCGCCTGCGGCGGCAGCCAGCTGCATGCGCTGCTGGTTGAGCTGCTGCTGCAGCTGCGCGCGGCGCACCTGTCAAGGGGGTGGGGTGTGGGACAACAGAAGCACGGTATTTGTGAGACAGCCGATTTGGGGCAAGCAATGCTGAAGGTAATAGGGGGGTCGACCGTACACAACGGCGCACACACGAAGCACGCGGGGGAGGGTGGGGGATATTGGCTCGCAGCATCTCAGACAGCAGCTTGGCCGCGTTTTCTCACAACGCCTGTGGGGGGGCCGGGTAGGTTCGTCCCGCGGAGCGGGGCCCGGCCCTGGCCCACTGCACTGATGCCTCAAAAGCTTTCATCACGGATGCCTGCAACACCAAACCCGTCACCACGGTGCACACACCCCACCACCTCATGCTGCATCCCCCAACTCAGCCCTGCCAAATCCCCAGCCATAGGCCATAGCGCCACAGCAGCAAACGCCCCCTCAAAAAGCCCGACAGAGCACCAAGTGACATACCCCCAACCCACACAGGAGTACCAAACAAACGGCCGCCCCCCGCCGCACCTCCTTGCGCTGCGCGAGGGCCACGTAGAGCGGCTTGCCCTTGAGCATCTTGCCGTTCATCTCCGTGACCGCGCGCGTCGCCTCCTCGTGGCTGGTGTAGCACACAAAGCCAAAGCCGCGCGACTTGCCCTTGTCGTCCACCATGACCTTTGGGGGGGGAGGGGGGGAGTGTAGGGCGGGAGGAGCGCCGCGGAAAGACTGGACGTTGCTCGCAGGCTGCGGCCCTCGCGCCACTGCTGCTCCTGAGCGTGGCACATGCCACATACACGGTCGCTCGAAGACCCAAACCTCAACACAAACACACGCGCGCACACGCACACGCACACACACAATATCATCCTCTCTCACATCCTCTCACAACACACCTGCACACAATCCGACACACAATCAGGCACGTGGGCGCACGCAGACACCCAGCCACAGCGACGCGCCCCCATCCGATCGCGGCCGCCCACCTTGTGGGATGTGATGGTGCCGTAGGGCGCAAACTCCTCGCGCAGCTGGTCATCAGTCACCTCGTCGCTGAGGTTCTTGATGTACAGGTTCATGCCCTGGTACTTGGCCACGCGCTCAGCACGCACCTAGGGGGGGGGGCAATGGGATGAGGGCCGGTGCGCGTTGAGCGGCGGCATGCGACGGCGTGTGGGGGGAGTCCCGGGGTTGCACCGTGTGCGGCACGGACCACCAAGCGAGGGAGATCGCCACGGCGCAGCCCAATCAGAGCAACCAAAGCCGGTGCATCGGCTCCGGCCGATCCACATGCCAAGTGACAACCCTTCTCTCCCCAAACAGCCGCATGCCACCCCCTATGCTCAATAAAACCAGACCGTTTGCAAGAAGCTCGACGCCTCCCACTGGTCCGCGCACCCCCCACAGGCACGGCCGCGCCCCCCCGCCGCACCTCCTCAAATTTGGCGCGCAGCAGCGACTCGCGCTCCGCCTTCTTCTGGGCACGCCCCGCGAACACGGTCTTGCCGCCGACCTCCTTGCCGTTGAGCGCTTCCACCGCGGTGGCCGCGGCCTCGGCCGTCTCAAAGTTGACAAAGCCAAAGCCGCGCGACTTGCCGGCGCCGTCCTGCGGGGCGGTGGGCGGGGGCACCAGCAAGGTGGGCGTGCTGTACGTATTGTCACAGCGGAAACACCTGCAGCGAGCGGCTAGCAAGGTGGTGGGCTCCGCTGACAAGCAACCCGGCGGAGCCCAGCAGGCCACGAGACCCTGGCAAACCGCACGCCAACCCCCGGCAGGTCACCAAGCCGCCACCCGCCCGGTGAGCGCAGTCGTCGCCCCCGCCCCCGCCGTCCCCCCTCCACCACCCGAGGCCCCGGGCACCCACCACCATGACGACGGCCGAGGTCACGGGCCCGTGCTCCGCGCAGATCTTGCGCAGCCCCTCGTCGTCCACGTCCTCCGCGAGGTTCTTGATGTACACGTTGGTGTACCGCTCCTCGCGGCCCTCGCCCACGCGCTCCACGCGCTTCAGGAAGGGGCCCACGTACACAATCTTGTCCGCCAGCTGCATGCCGTTCACCTGGGGGGAGGGAGGATGACGGGGGCAGGGGCGGCTCGAGCGCGGTCTTCGAGGCAAAACGTCCTGCTCTCTGCATCGCTCCCAATCAGGCGTGTTTATAACAGCCTGAGGGCGGGGTCTTCCAGCAATCAGAAAAAAGCCTGCCAGAAAGCTATGTTGACAAGACGGACAAGCATGCTCGCACTCTCGCTCACACCCACATGCGCCCCACACACAAGCGCGCGTGCACACAGACACACAGACACACACACACACACACACACACAAGCACCGCCGTGCACCTTCTCGATCGCGAGGGCCGCGGCCTCGTCGGTCTCGTAGTGCACAAAGCCGTAGCCCTTGGAGTTGCTGGCCGCGTCCGTCGCCACCTTGCAGGACAGGATGTTGCCAAACTGGCTGAAGGTGTCGTGCAGGGCCTTGTTGTCGATGGACTTGTCCAGGTTCTTGATGAAGATGTTGCCCACGCCAGACTGGGGGGCGCGTTGGGGGTGGAGGGTAGGAGGCACGCGACGAGTTGAGAGCAGGGGCGTGGTGTGCGCAGCAGGGCTCGAGGGGCACGCAGGCGTTGCGGCATAGCGTCCGCATTAAAAAAAAAAGCATTCTGTAACACGGGGCGTCGGCTGGGTTCCCCCAAAGCGGCCAGTCTGCGCCCCGCCAGCGTGTGTGCCCCACTCCTCAGCCGAAGCAGCACCCCGCCCAGGCGCGCCGCCAACGGCCACCCTCCCCTGGCGCCCTGGCGCCCCACCTTGCGGAAGGCGGGGTCGCGGTGGGACCACATGATGCGGATGGGCCTGCCATTGACCGGGTGGTAGTTGAGGGCCTCCAGGGCGCGCTCGGCTGGGGGGGGGCACGTTGAGGGTGGGGGTGGGGGTGAGAGGAGCTTCCGGGGTTGCTGGGTTCAGGGGCGAGATCGAATCAGGGGAGAGGCGGCAGCGAGGGGAGAGGGGGAGGGCAGAATTTGCCTATGGCGGAGCTTGGTGCGGGGGCTCCTATTGAAGTCAGCCCGACCGTCCGTGTGTTGCTGCTGTTGTTCCCACTGCTGCCACGAAATGCAACGCCAGTGCTGGGCTGCGATGCCACGCCCGCGCATCCGTGCCAACAGAACGCTGTGAGCGCTACAGAGCTCACTGATCCATGCAGTGTGCGCTGACAACATTTTTTTGCTGGTCGCTTGCCGCTGCAGAAACCTGCCTGCACCCCTCCTCCCCTCAGCTGCCATGCCGCCACGGCCACGCGCTCCATCAGGCCGCGCAGCTGGAGCTCGGCACTATGCCCCGTCAGCGCCTGCCACTGCCGCCCAGAACCCGCTCGCCGCCTGATGCAACGCCCCGTCACACGCCGCCCGCCGCTGCTCCGCCAGCCATCGCTGCCGGGTGAGCGTGCCGCAGCGCACCGCGCCCCGCACCAAGCCGGCTGTGGCCCGTTGTCCCCCCCTCAGTTGCACGGCAGCTGCTTCCCTCACCGGCCTGGGGGTCCAGGGCGCTGTTGTAGTTGACGTAGGCATAGCCCAGGGAGCGGCGCGTCACCGCGTCGCGGCACACGCGGATCGACGCCACTGGGCCGACCTGCGGCGCGCGCGCATTTGTGTTTCACGCGTGGTCGACTGTTTGGCAACCGCTAAAACGGATCGCATGGCAGCTGTGCGACACCTCAGTCACGCGGCGCGCAAACCGGATCCTGCCGGCAGCGATGCAAGGGTGTGAGATGCTGCTGCAGCAGTGGTGCCGGCGGCTGCAGCTGATGCCAGTCCTGCCAGTGCTGCGCACCTGAGAGAAGAGCTCAAACAGCGACGCCTCAGTAGCCTCCCTGACACGATTGACGGGTGGATGGGCGGCCCCGACGCAACAATGAGCCAGAGTGAGTGACGACTGCACTCCGGCAGTGCTTCGTGCCACGAGGAAGCCATCGGACAGTGGATGCACGCAGAAATGCTTACCGATCCAAATCGCCCACGTAGAGCGACGAGTGCTGGGCTGGCGTGGTGGTGGCCGCCGCGGGCTGGGCAGGCGCGGCAGGGGCCTCGGTCGTCGCCATCTTGGCTGAGGCTCACGTAAAACGCTTTCCTGCTGAAGGCCTCTGCTGCCTCTTTTCTGATCCGCGTCGAGCTCTGCTGTGACAGGCTCGTTTTTGGTCGGGGAAGCCAAAGCCAACGAAGGCGGCCTCTCCCTATTTTTTATGTTTTATCTGGCTTTTTGAAGTCGCCGCTGGGTGCGGGTTTGCCCGGGAAGAGGGCGATTGGCAGGCGCGCCCACAACAAGTTTGCCGATGCGATGCTGATCGCGTGCCCGCTCAGGTGCTGCTCGTCACACATACGCTGAGCTTCTTCTCGCGATGAGTTTGAGTGATGTCCCAATTTGAGGCTGCCACAATGCCACTTCTTCCTGGACTTGTGGCAGCGCAGCAAGCCAAGTCAGGTGCGCTGACAGGGTGATGAGACTGGCGTTGACCTGGTTGACTTGTATGGTGTTCACCAACGTAGTTGGGCAGGTAGGCATATGAGACCTGTCAACTTGCAGATGCAACAATGCAACAGAGTCCGGATTGAAGGTGATTCGAAACTTGCTCGGTGAGGGCGATGTAATGAAGTGGATGACCTTGCTAGACTCAGTAGGTGAGTGATCAAGGCAGCAGATGCCTGCCTCGGCACAGCAAGGCGAGGCACCTTGAACATTGGTGGTAATATTGGCAATCAAACAGTTTGTTGCAGCCTTGCCGGCTGGCAGTCCATCACAGGACCCGCAAGGCGTGCTGTGCAGTCGAGAAGCATCAGTCAAGGGTGATGCTCATGGAAGGAGTCAAGCGAATGTCACGCGAATTGCTGAAGCACTTGCGAGCCTGCCAGCCAGTGGGTTCATCCCTCATCACGCGTGCGCTCAGCCCATGAGCACTGGCGAGTACTCTACACCCATCTGCTGGTCTGGGCAAAGAGGCACCATGACGTGCGGCATTGCTGCCGGTCGCGCTACGCTCCCAGCAACACGACCTTGGCCGCGCCAACCACAGCTGCGCTGCTGCGCTGCTGCGCTGCTGCGCTGCTGCCTGCCGGCGCGCCGCCCAACCTTATTGGTGCAGCACGCCCAGGCCCGCCAAGGACGACTTCCTTGTTCCCGGAACTCACGCCCCAAGCGCACTTGCTGCCAGCGCCGCTGCTGGTGCCTTTTACGCTTGGGCTGGCAGGTCTGGGCCTAAACAGCGGCTTGAACACCTCGAGGATGGCGTCCAGGGCTCGAGATCTTTGCACCTGCTGTGTTGATCGTCGCGCTGAGGCAGGTCCGTGCCATCAGCTTTGTCGGTGCTTCCTGGAAGGTTGATGCTTGACGTTGATTGGGGCAGCGTCGTATGGACGGCCAGCCCTGCCCTGAGCGCCGTGGCAGATGCACTGCAATTTCCCAACCTGGCGCGCCGGCCTAAACTCTCGGAGGGGTGGCGTTTTTCCGCAGGTCCAAGGTCAGGAGCGGTGGGAGCGCAGGGACCGTGACCGGCGGCAGGGTCACGATATTGATGTTGGTGTTGTTCTGAGGGCCAGAGATCTTGGCTAGGAGTGGCAATTTGCCCAACCCAGCCTGTGACGCATCAATCTTGAGCGTGATCTCATGGGTCGGGGCCAACTTGGGGCCTCCCACATTGAACACAACGTTCTCCTTCTCGCGGTGACCTGCATCGGAAAGTAGGGGGAGCAGAGGATGAACAGCAGGACCATGAGTGTTGCCTGACTGTACAGTCAGTGGCCCTGGCACTAGCAGCTGGCAGATGTGGACGAGGCCTCCTGCTGCTCACCAGGTAGCGTAATGGACGAAAAGTTGAGCCGCGGAAGGTTGATGTTTACTTTGTTTCTCTGTGGCAGCCCTGGCAGCTTGATGTCATACACGGGGCCTTGCTGAGCGGCTCCAAGGTTGACCACCTGCAGTAAAAGTTGTATTGGGCAGTTGCTGAGACATATGGTTGAGTCGCAATGTGCATATGCATGTGAAACGCGAGCTCAACCAGCCTTCCCTTGTTGCCTTCATGACGCGTAAAGTCAAGCGCTGATGTATCGCTCTTGACCTTGGGTGAGACCTGTGGTGTTGTCCTCGCAAGAGCTGGTTGCTGCTGCAGTCAAGCGCGTAGGGTTTTTCGATTGGAACGGCCTTGCCGGCATGCTCACATGGACCTTTGCCGGGTCGTGCACCACGCTGACTAGGCTGGACAGGTTGACCTTGACATCCGGCAGGCGCACCACGGTCGCGTCCTGCGAATGGGTTAGCATAGAAGAGAGTGACACCAAAGACGAGCGACAAGATGGAGAAGAGCGGCTGGCCACAACTCTCACTGGGCTGCATGTGCAGCCTCTCAAGGCAGGTGGCCGCAGCGCACCCTGGGGCCGAAGCTGGACAAATCGATCACAGTCTGTGCAGGCGGCTTGACATCGGCCTGGGCATAGGAGGAGGGGTGAACACGGATGTTGATCTGCCTGGTGGACGTGCGAGCACAAACAAAGAGCAGGGCAAAGGCGACCTAAAAACATTGGCCTTGAGGCAGTTGTGCGGGTGGCCCTCCATGCATGTTTGTGCTGTCGTTGAGGGAGTTGTCCTTGAGAGAGCCACATCCTTTGAACCACATGCCTTAAACTTGAAGGGCAGGTCGACTTGGATCCTGGAAGGCAGGTTCACATCATATGTGGTACGCGGCCCCAGGCGGCTGGCGTCGATGACGGCAAACTTCTTCTGTATGCGAACGCCCCCGATGTCAGCAGACAGGTCAGGTGGGGTGAAAGAGACCTACATGTCATGGCGATCAACACACAAGGTTGAAGCTTAGCACGGAGTGAGAGGGAAGATGAGGAAGGCACAGCATATTTTCATCCTGTGCGCACATAAACCTGTGCGAGTGTTTAGAAGACGGCTGCTCGCCGCCCTGCATGCACGTACGGGTACTTCTTGGTATCATTTCCCAAAACCCGGCCGTAAAGGTTGCGCCCCGTGGCGCTCACCGTGGGTGCAGGCAGCACAGGGATGACGAGGTCGCGCTGTGGCAGGCTGAGAGATGGCAGTGTGATGTCTATGCTTGGCTGGATGAAGGACAAAGCTGGCTGTGCATGGGTGTGTCCAAAAGACATGTGCGTGTGTGGACATGAGTAAAATGAATGAGGTTGCCATTGTCCTGGGCAGGGGCATGAGACATGCTCAAACCTCTCGAGCACACTCACCTCCAACCTGTCACCCTGTCATCAATGCAATTGGTAGGTGCCCCTGCATGGTTGGGTCTGAACTATGTGTTCTCACCTGAGGCAGCACAACAATGGGCATCTTGGGTCGCCAGAACCTCAGGGGAAGGTCAGCGTTGATGTCGATGCTGTTGGGGACGTTGATGCTGGCCAGTGGCTTCGGCAGAACAACAACAGGCTGCACCCGCTCCGCAGTGATCGTCACGGCCGGCGCCACGAGGGAACTGACCTACAGGAGGGGCGTACATTGAGCGGCACTGTTTGCTTGAGCATCAACCAGGCGAGCCACAGCTGGAATCAGCGGGCTGCAAGTGCAGAGGCCAGGGCCGGTCGCAAGGAGGCTACAAGTGCTCACCGCGCTCCCGAGGCTGCGCAGGCGGCGACTTGAGCCACTCTCGTCAGGCTTCAGCCCAACCGCCTCCTTGCTTGCAGCGTTGGAGGGATACGGCTGCGGCGTATATTTGACACATTGGTACAGCCCCTGCGTGTCCTGCTCAAGCACGTATCCTCCTGGGCAACTGGGCTCAGCTGCATTGAGAACTGCTTCCGGAGGCGAGGCGGCTGGCTTGCACGAAGCACCTGTGATGATGCAGACATATATGAGACAATAACCGCTTTCCTGGCCATATGGCAACACATTGGCAGCATGGCTGATGTGTCAGCCGGGAAGGATAGGGTTCCAGCAGCAACTCAGCAACAGAAGGCGGCGGCCGCTGCATGGATGCACAGGATGGTTTGAACGCCATGCTGCTTACCAGAGCACTTGTACGCCTCTTCAGTACCGCGAGACGGGTTCCTCGCGAATGCCAAGGCAACCTGGAGTGAGGAAGGTCGCGGAGTTTTGAACGATTGAAGGCACGCAACATCGATGGCGAAGCGAGACACGCGCGGCTTCTCCCTAGCTCTACCTGAGCAAAAATGATGATGAAGAGACATGTTAAATTTGTAGCCCCTTTGACAACCATCTCGAATTGGGCTGGGCGGCTACGACTACTGCACGCTGCACGGCTGGAATCGTCTATGTGCGCAACGTGGTTCAGCTGCTGTAATTCAAAGTGATCGACATCACACGCGACAACCAACAATTGGATCGTTGCAGATCGTGTATTATGCCACGGAGCTCTGGGCACCTGGGGCGGCTACTTTTGCGATACTGCGACACTACCCGAACGGAGGAGAGGTGCAGGCCGCTGAAAATGAGTTGAAAGCGCGAATTGATAATCAAGAAGTGTTTTGAAAACTCGAGAAAGCTGGCGCACCCTCAGTATCGTCGATGCTTCTGTGCTTGCTGGTCGGGAGTCTGGCACCCTCTGAGAAACCGCTGGGCCCCCAGGCAGGCACGCGCTCCGTCATGGCTTGCGCGCCCTTACTACTTCCAGGCTGCGTTACATGCCGGGCCTTCTGATATTGTGTTCAGTGTGGTTTCTTGCGGCAAGGAGGAGTGATAGGTCCGAGCGTAACAGGGTCGCGGGCAATTGGAATGATAGGGCGCCCGGACTGTGCCTTGGTACCTGGACAGTGCCCTGGCACTGCTTGATGTGCGGCGGCAGCACACTACAAGATGATGAAGCCACAAATGCAGTGTGGGCGTGCACCAAGAGTGTCGCTAGCAAAACTCAGGAGGCAGGATACGTGAGTACAGGTGGTGGTGGCTGCATCAACACAAAGTGGTTCATCATCCGCAAACAAAGGTATAGCAACGCAACGTGCAGGAATATCGGTGTAGAAATATGCAAGGGAAAGGTCCGCAGCAGTGCACACCTAACACCTGCCGCTACATGGCACATGCAGTCATCAAATGGCGGCGTGCATGTCGTACCCCTACCACTCCCCCTCCCCCACACACACCGGCGGTTGGCGCTACATGGGCAGCACAGACCTAATCAATTGACATACGGCTTGTTGACAGTGTCACTGCCTCCTTGCTCCGTGAACAGGAGGATGGGAGCGACAGTATGCATAGCTACATCCAAGAGTGTCGCGTTGGAGGCACTTAAGATGGGGTGGGATGCCACCGTGTTGCGCCCCCACAGCAATGTGAACGCGGGCGCTTCGAACCCATGTAACTTGAACCCTACAAACTGTTGACGCCTGGGGCTACCCAGCCTTGTCTGCTGCCTCGACACTCGAAACAAACAGTCTTACGGCAACTTCATCTTCCTGCGCATCACGAAACGCCACCCCCCCTCTGGCTTTGTCCCTGTGCCTGGTTAGGCCGCTGCAGGCCCCCAGCAGGGGACTAGTCCAGCGCACCGCCAGAAGTCCGCTGCAGGCCCCCAGCCGCGCCCTGCTGCGGCGACCCGCCAGATGTTCGCTGCAGGCCGCCAGCCGCGCCCTGCCGCGGCGCCCCGCCAGACGTTCGCTGCAGGCCGCCAGCCGAGGCCTGCTGCCGGGCGCCGCGCGATGCCCGCGGCAGCCCATCTGACCCCGCCGGCCGCGCCGCCCCGCCGGACGTCCGCCGCAGCCCGCCAGCCGCAGCCGGCTGCGCCGCGCCGCCCGACGTCCGCTGCAGGGCCCCTGCGCCCATTGTCCTCTGCATGCTCCCGAGCTGCGGCGGCGGCGGCGCCGTGGCCGCGGCGTGCGCCGCCGCGTCCGCCTCGCACGCCGCCTTGAGCATGGCTGCGTATACCCCACCCTGCATGGCCAGCTTCTCGGGCGCCCCGCTCTCGAGGACGCGGCCCTGGCTCATCACCAAGAGCAAGTCGGAGTTTTCGATGGTTTCCAGGCGATGCGCCACCACGATCATGCTGCACCCTGCCGGCGCCAGCGCCGCTGCGGCGCCTGACACGCCGCCCCCACCCCTGCTGCTGCCGGCGCTCCGGCGGCGGAGGTTGCCGCCGTCGGCGCTGCTGCTGCTGCTGCGGCGGCGGATGGTGCCGTCGGGCGCGCCGGCGCTGCCGGTTGACGCGCCGGCCAGGGGGCGTCGCCAGCTTGTCAGGGTGCGCTGGATGGTCGCGTCTGTCGCGGCGTCGAGGTTGGCCGTTCCCTCGTCGATCGCCAGCACGTGAGCGCCGCGCAGGAGGGCCCTGCGGCATCGATGCATCGTGACAGACTCTATGGGTTGGGCAGGCGCGGGCTGCCAGCACGGCTCAAGGGGCGACGGGTCGCAAGGCGGTGGCCGGTCTATGCACGGACAACAGTGGTACGTGCGGGCGTCTAGTGCATGCCTTGTGACCTGCACGTGCGGGCGTCTCTCGGGGACCCCTCATCCGGCACAAACGGAGCCTGCCTCAGGCGTTCGCGGTGGGCCCTGCTCCCATCCTCCATTCTGCCTGCCCCTCCCTCCTTCCAATCGACAGCAGCACCCACCGCAACAGCCTCCCTAACCCCTCGCCCCC